TCTAAAATGTATGAAGAAGCTGACGAAAAAGAGAATAAATCAGTAAAAAATGGCAAATTAATATTTTTCTAGAGGTTTAATCTTTTTCAAGAGAGTCAGACCAGTTCTTGAAAAGATTACATAAACACATCAAGAAATAGATCTTTTCGAAAAGGGGGTGGGGGGAGAGAAAAAAATGAAAAGAAAAGAAATCCAAAAAGGGTAAGAAAGATAAAAATAAACATTCCTAGAAAGCAAGAAACATGGAGGCGACGCTTGTCTTCAATTCTTGAAGACGTCGTGTTGTTTCTCTGTCACAGGACAAGTCTTGCCTGCTGTGTTTCGTTGAATAGTGGAAGAAAAAGACGAAAAACGTAAGCAGAAAACAAGGACAAAAAAAAAAAATAATGGCGATGTTTTGAACGACGATTTCAATAGAAAGGATTAGATCGCTTGTCAGGTGACCTCAGCAAACATTCAATCAGTTCGATCGATTTAATCTAAATATAACATGAATAGTTTTCTCACTTCATATACAAACATTTATATATATATATATATATATATATATATATATATATATATATATATATATATAAATCTCTTTCTCTCTTCATATACAAACATTTCATATATACATATATATATATGAAGAAATGAAGAATATATATATATATATATATATATATATAATTATTTATTTAAAAATATGATTCCAAATCGCTACATAAGAGGTCTCATGTTTCAAAACAAGAGCCGAAAACTTCAATATAATCCTTTAAATTAAATTGAGTTGAAATTAAAAAGGGCTCCGTTCCATCTTCAAGCGAAATTTTTGTTGGAATAACGTATATCTGAAATTTACTTGTTTTAAAAATTGAAATCAAAATCACCATGGTAACAGCTAGGGAGAATTGTCTAAAATGGGTAGGCGAGTGTAGGGTGTTAATGATGAGTACCTAACCAGTTCCTTCCTATTTTCTATATATTTTCACACACACACACACACACACACACACACACATATATATATATATATATATATATATATATATATATATATATGAAGAAATATAGTTTTAAGGTGTGCTATATTTATCGGATAAATATATCAGAAATAGAGCGTATGTAAATATAAATATAAAAGTGAACATTGAAGTCCGACAATTATTTTACGATATTTTTATGTTTATACATTATTTTATAGATACAAATGTTTAATGTCTTAAAATAATTGTCGGACTTTGTCCATTTCATAATGTGTCACGTCATTTGTTTACATTTGGATACGCGTCGAGCAGATATGAATGTGCGTGAGAGAATCATGGAAGATTGAAGTTTAAAAGGCAGTAAATTCGACCTTGCTAGCCGAACGCTCCTCTGTGGCCAAATCGGTTAAAGGCACGTCAGGCTATATGACGGTTCCGTATAGGATACAGGTTCGATTCTTGTCGGAGGACGAATATTTTCTATGAAAGTTTCTCGGACATTCAGACCGGTAAATGCCGTTAATGCAGTTTATTATAAACAGAGCATTTTCTTAAATATTTGTATCTATAATAGAATGTATAAATATAAAAATGTCTTAAAATAAATGTCCATTTCATAATGTGTATGTATATATATATATATATATATATATATATATATATATATATATATATATATATATAGAGAGAGAGAGAGAGAGAGAGAGATAGATAGACATTATTTACATTATTCGGAATATTGTCCTCATCTTTGTCGCCACATTTATTACAACGTTTCGGCCGTTGTACACTCCGGCCTTCTTCAGGTGTAGACTGTTCTTGTTCCACATTTAATGGATGTCAGTTATCAATTATCTCCTGTTAATTCCCATCCGAAAGTTCTCCACTGTCTTAACCGGGTATTGAACTCACACTCTTTGGGTCCTGTCACTAGATCTAACTAATGCCTTTATCCACTGTGTCCTTAAACAGTGTTAATTATGTCAGCTGACCTGCACTTCGAGAAACTTAATACAGAAAACATGCTCTCTGGTAGGGATTGAACCTGCACCTCTCTTTGTAGATTTTCCAAGGGAAGCAACAAAAATAACGTTTAGAGCAATGAGAAGCATCGTCAGGATTAAAAACAAAACCTTAAGAAACTAAACGGCAATCAGTTTTCGATTAATGATGGACGTATTAAATAAACCAAATAACGTCAATCAAATTTACCTCAAAAACAAGTCGATTACTTGCTGAATGATTTGTTGCTAAGATTCTCAAAGACTTAGCGTTTTGTATTTTAGATTTGGGCGCATTGATTTGCTCAAGAGTATTCATGCCTTTCTCAATGGCGTTAATTAAAAAAAAAGAACGCAACAAGGAAGGCTAGGATGTGAACTAGGTTCGCTGAATTCGCTTTCTGTGTCGATAAACATTACGCCACCCTCACATTTTCCCTTAATCTTCTTCTATTTTATGGCCTTTTGTTTAATAATTTCAGACTATTATTTTTTAGTGGCAGTATATTTGGCGCAGATCTTCTGAGGCTGACCTTAGGGTCAGGTGGTAGACAAAACAAAAGAAGTTTTTGATTGGCTGAGACGAACGTGGAAAACTTAGTTAAAAAAATGTTTTCAGGTGTTAAGTTTTACACATCGGAGAAAGCAGACGTGGTTATTTCGTGTCTCGAGGAACTTGCTTCGCAGTGGGCGTTGGTGGTAATAGAGAGCCCCCATTGGTTAGTTAAAAGATGTACACGTCGATGTGTTTAATAAAATAGATAAGTTAAAAATGCCTTTTGGTGAAGTTCTCATTTGACCTCCGAACTAAGAAAAACAAAATAATTAGGGACCACCCGGCCGAGAGAGACGGAGGAAGCTTTGTTGTGGAATCGACCCCATCAACCAAAAGAGAACCCCCAGAAGAAGGGGGTAATGTAACATAGTTTCAATTTGGGGCGCAGCGTCCAGCTCCTTCCAACAAGGAAAGGCGGAAGTGAAACCAGGGTTGGAACATAAAGTGTAAGATTTTCGGAGCAGATTTTCGACCGAGGACTCAAAAAAAAAAAAAAAATAAAAATAAAAATAAAAAAATAAAAAACAAAGGGAATATAAAAAACACAAAAAGTATTCTAGACATATAGGTCAGTCTGTAAGTACGAAGATATTCCTTTGTTTTACCATCAACACACACACACACACACACACACACACACACACACACATATATATATATATATATATATATCTAAAAAACATGCCGAAAGAGGAAATAATGATAAAAAAAAATGAGGAAAAGAATTTTGGGGGATGGACAGACAAGAGAAAAAAACTGACAAGTAGAGAAAAGAAAGAAGGAAAGAAAAGACAATGAACAGCCACACTTAAGCATACACACTGATGCGACAATGTCAGTTTTCTTGAAATATTTTAGTAAGCGACAGATTTTTTTCATTATTTGCATTATTCGGACAATTGTCCTCGTCTTTGTCGCCATATTTATTACAACGTTTCTTCAACCTTCTTCAGGATGTTGGAATGTCGAATTTAACCCTTTATTTCGCTCACTGGGGTAGACTGTTTTCGTTCCACGTGCCATGTTTAATGGATGTCAGTTATCAGTGATCTTCTGTTAATTTCCCTCTTAACAGGGTATTGAACTTACACTCTTTGGGTCCTGTCACTGGATCTAACTAACGCCTCTATCCACTGTGCCATGTGTCCTAGGCAAGGGTAAAAATGTTGATAAACGCTGTCTTAGACCATGTGCCGGCATTTACTGCTTGATTTTGATTGGCACGCTTTAAATGTCTTGTCTAAGTCTATTTTTGGTATGATTTTACGTTGTATCGGCTGCAGTTGTCATTTTTATTTTGTAGAAAAAAATCTGGCCATGAAAGTTTCGCTGTTAAGAAAAAAATATTTGACTGGTTTCAGTGACTGGCAATGCAGAAAGCTGAATTTGCCTGCGTAGCTCAATGGGAATTGATTTTTGAAAAAAAAAAAAACCCAAAAAACAGTATTTTGTGATGGGACATTCCCACTGTGCTTTCTCTGCACTGTTAATAAGTTGAAAGTTTTTGTAGCTATGGTTTTGCGAGCATTCAAATGTTTTAAATTTAGAATTATTCATTTGTTAATTGTAATTAACTGACAAATTATTATTTTTTTCATTTTTGTAACAGAGTGTGGAATTTTTTATTTTAAGTGCCGTGTGTTTATCCTTTTGCCTTCATTGGTTGGTTAATTAAGTTATTAATTGATGAATTTTGATAATTTTTTGTGGAAAAAGTAAGTTAGCTAATTGTTGTGAAAATAAGTAAATTCAACTTGCATTGTTTCAGTTTTCGGAATGTGTGTGGGTCTGTAAACTCGGTTGGAAATGGCCATACCTAGCTATATAGTTAGGGACCTGATGATTGATGGGGTATTAGAATGGAAGCCCGTGCGCCATGAAACTTTTATATCGAATAAATATACCCTAAGTTCCCCTCCCCACTGAAGCCAAGTTTTGGGGCCCCGATGACCTAGTGGAATTGGTCAGGTGGTTTGTGGGATTCCAAGCTGTGGTATCGGT